CGAAAAGAGTAGGGGATTACTAAAGAAAAACAAACAAAAAAAAAAACAGGCAAATTAGGGGAAAAAAAAAAGCGGGAAATGTTAATAATACAGTAGTACCCCTTATCCATGATTTTGCTTTCCTTATCTCAGTTATTCACAGTCACTCATTGTCTGAAAATAGGTGAGTACAGTGCAGGAAGATACTGGTGGAGGAAGGTGGCAGGAGGACTACATTAATATAGCTTTTATTATATACTGTCATAATTGTTCATCATTAGTTGTTAATCTCTAACTACTCTGCCTAATTTATTAAAATTAAATTTTATCCTAAGCATGTACATAAAGGAAAAAACAGTATATACAGGATTGGCCCTATCTATGGTTTCAGGCATCCACTGGCAGGAAGGTCTAAGAACTATTCCCTGTGGATAAAGGGGACTATTTTTTTTTAAGGCATTAATTCTCAATAAAACTATTTTTTTTTTTTGAGATGGAGTCTCACTCTGTCGCCAGGCTGGAATGCAGTGGTGTGATCTCAGCTCACTGCAACCTCCGCCCTCCAGGTTCAAGCAATTCTCCTGCCTCAGCCTCCCAAGTAGCTGGTAACGTATTGGTAAACATCATTTTCTAACTCATTAATATACAGATATACTAACACAAATATATTACTTTTTTCTATCCAGCATCCTGATAAACTGGTTTTTATTGTTTTTAGACAGGGTCCTGCTCTGTCACCAGTGCACTGCAGTGGCATAATCATAGCTCACTGCAGCAGCCAACTCCTAGGCTCAAGTGATCCTCCCACCTCTGCCTTCCAAGTAGCTGTGATGATAGGCACATGCCACCATGCCCAGCTAATTTTTTTGTTTTTGTTTTAGGAGAGGGTTTCACTATGTTGCCCAGGCTGGTCTTCAACTTCTGGTCTCAAGCGATCCTTCCATTTCTGCCTCCCAAATTGCTAGGATTACAGGTGTGAACCACTGCACCCAGCCTATGCTATATGTTTCTGAACTCCCCTTTTATAATTCCATTTGTTTCTACCAAGCACTCAGGAAAGCTACCAGTCTAGGATCACTTTAAACTAAATTAACAACTTGAGGTTTTCTGAACCATTCAGTGAATGTGGATCTCAAATCCAAAGTTAAAACTGGCCAGGCACAGTGGCTCACACCTGTAATCCCAGCACTTTGGGAAGCTGAAGGAGGATCACTTGAGCCCAGAAATTCAAGGCCGACTTGAACAATGTAGTGAGTCCCCCATCTCTACCAAAAAAAAAAAAAAAAAAAAATTAGCCCAGGTGTGGTAGCACATGCCTGTGGTCCCAGCTACTTGGGAGGCTAAGATGGAAGAACAGCTTGAGCTCAGGAGTTCAAGGCTGCAGTGAGGCATGATCAGGCCACTGCACTCCAGCTTGAGTGGCAAAGCAAGATGGTCTCAAACCACATACACACACACACAAATACACGTCTCAAACCACACACACACAGGCCACTGCACTCCAGCTTGAGTGGCAAAGCAAGATGGTCTCAAACCACATACACACACACACACAAATACACGTCTCAAACCACACACACACACACACACACACACACACACACACACACACACACACCCCCCCCACCCACCCACCACAGAATGAGGACTGCTCTGTTGACAATAAAATCTCTGACAAAAGCTGCTCTGACTCCTGTTCTGCTTAGAGATAACGTTGGCCAGTATGGTCTCATTCTCTTGGCCTTGTGATCCGCCCACCTTGGCCTCCCAAAGTGCTGGGATTACAAGGTGTGAGCCACCATGCCTGGTTTAATGATTTTTAATGTTTTAATTTTTAATCCCAGCACTTTGGGAGTCCCAGGCGGGCAGATCATGAGGTCAGGAGTTCCAGACCAGCCTGGTCAATATGGTGAAACCCATCCCTACCAAAACTTCAAAAATTAGCTGGTGTGGTGGCACGTGCCTGTAGTTCTAGCTACTCGGGAGGCTGAGGCAGAAGAATCACTTGAACCCAAGAGGCAGAGTTTGCAGGGAGCTGAAATCAAGCCACTGCACTCCAGCCTGGGCAAGAGAGTGAGACTCCATCTCAAAAAAAAAAAAAGAGGCCAGGCGAGGTGGCTCACACCTATAATCCCAGCACTTTGGGAGGCCAAGGTGGGTGGATCACCTGAGGTCGGGAGTTTGAGACCAGCATGACCAACATTGAGAAACTCCGTCTCTACTAAAAATACAAAAAATTAGCTGGGCGTGATGGCGGACGCCTGAAATCCCAGCTACTCGAAGGCTGAGGCAGGAGAATTGCTTGAACCTGGAAGGTGGAGGCTGCGGTGAGCCGAGATTGCACCATTGCATTCCAGTCTGGGCAACAAGGGCGAACCTCTGCCTCCTGGGTTCAAGCAATTCTCTTGCCTCAGCCTCCAAGTAGCTAGGACTACAGGTGCCTGCCACCACACCCAGCTAATTTTTTTTGTATTTTTAGTAGAGATGGGCTTTCACTATGTTGGCCAGGCTTGTCTTGAACTCCTGACCTCATGATCCTCCCACCTCAGCCTCCCAAAGTGTTGGGATTACAGGTGTGAGCTACCGTGACTGGCTGACAACTGTTTTTTTTTTTTTTTCCCTTCTTCACATGTCCTTGAATTAACTGCTTGACAACTGATTTATATAACCGAGGTTGGCACATCACTCCTTTCCTTCTTCCTTACCAATTTAGGAATTTCAAGATACTGAGGCTAAGTTTATAGACAGTTCAAAGTAGTTGTGAAACTTTATAAGGCCCCAATATATTCCTGGGTCACTGACACAACTGACAGGCTATAGCTTCGCTTCTCCTCCTCTTTATGGTAGAACAGATTTTTTTTTTTTTTTTTTGAGACGGAGTTTCGCTCTTGTTACCCAGGCTGGAGTGCAATGGCACAATCTCGGCTCACCGCAACCTCCGCCTCCCGGGTTCAGGCAATTCTCCTGCCTCAGCCTCCTGAGTAGCTGGGATTACAGGCACGCGCCACCATGCCCAGCTAATTTTTTGTATTTTTAGTAGAGACGGGGTTTCACCATGTTGACCGGGATGGTCTCGATCTCTTGACCTCGTGATCCACCCGCCTCGGCCTCCCACAGTGCTGGGATTACAGGCTTGAGCCACCGCACCCGGCCGGTAGAACGGATTTTTAAAAATAATCTCTTTTCTCTTTTTCTACCTTAAGTACCATCACCAAAATCTGTTTCTAAATGATAATCTTAACTATGCCTGTTTCTTATCTTCAAATTTACCTATTTAATGGAAAAGATTGGACACATACTGTAACACTTTGAAAGGCATGTTCCCTGGCCAGCCTTTTTGAAAGCTAACTTACTACATGTTCTAAACTACAGTTTTTAGCTTTTGGCCTCTGTGCCACGTGTGTTATTAAATGCTCTAAGTACTGTCTTCTAGTGACTGAAGTCTGTTACTGGTTTTCGTTTTTCATAATTCCAACATAAGGGAGAGGTTCAGAAGTATGTATTTTTGGTCAGGTGCACTGGCTCACACCTGTGTTTCCAGCACTTTGGGAGGCCGAGGTGGGTGGATCACGAGGTCAGGAGTTCCAGACCAGCCTTGCTAACATAGTGAAACCCCATCTCTACTAAAAACACAAAAACTAGCCAGGTGTGGTGGTGAGCGCCTGTAATCCCAGCTACTCAGGAGGCTGAGCCAGGGGAATCACTTGAACCCGAGAGGAAGAGGTTACAGTGAGCTGAGACTACACCACAAAAAAGGAAAAGAAGAATGTATTTTTGAAACATTTCATAATAATATGTCAAGGACATTTCAAACCTGCAGTTTCTAGTGATTAAATAATTATTTAAAAACCCAATTATATGGTATTAGAATATATTATTATTCTGCATAATTATTATGCTTGCTTATGAATATAAAATAATTCTATTATAATTTCAAAAACAAAAAAAAGGAAGAAAACACTGAAAGAATAAATTCAACTTGATACCTCTACAGGACAAGATGAATAAAATCTCTGCTTTAGAATTAAGTTTAATTAACAATTAACAAAAAAAATAGTTCTCGATGTGTTCTTAAAATACCTCATCTATTTAAAAAAACAAAAAGGAGGGCCAGGTGTGGTGGCTCATGCCTGTAATCCCCGCACTTTGGGAGGCTGAGGCGGGAAGATGACAAAGTCAAGAGTTTAAGACCAGCCTGGCCAACATGGTAAAAAACCCTGTCTCCACTAAGAATACAAAAATTAGCTGGGTGTGGTGATGTGTGCCTTTAATCCCAGCTACTCTGGAGGCTGAGGCAGGAAAATTGCTTGAACCCTAGAGGTGGAGGTAACAGTGAGCTGAGATTGTGCCACTGCACTCCAACCTGGGAAAAAAAAAAAAAAAAAAAAAGGAAAGCCTTATCAATTGGTATCAAGCTCTCAAAGGCACCCCCTGCCCCTAGTTTTTTTTTTTTTTTTTTTTTTTTTTTTTAAGAGTTGCTGTTGCCCAGGCTGGAGTGGTGCAGTGCTATGATTTGCAGCCTCAACCTCCCGGGCTCAAGTGATGTTCCTGCCTCAACTTCTCAAGTAGCTGGGACCACAGGCCATGGCTGACTAATTTTGTGGAGACAGGGTCTTTTTATGTTGCCCAGGCTGGTCTTGAACTCCTGGAATCAAGTAATCCTTCCGCCTCGACCTCTGCCAAGTGCTGGGGTTACAAGTGTGAGCCACCATGTTTGGCCTCAAAGGACTTTTAACAATTTTTACTGCTACCACTACTTGATTACCTACTGTGTGACAGGCACTGTGCTTTCAAACACCAACTAATATAATCTTCCTAACAGACTTTTGGAATAGATATTATGTCTATAGTTTTTAAAAAGCCAATAAATAGGAATGGAATAGAAATCTGAGATCTACGACTAATTACCACCAAATATCAAACAAATGCTATCAACAGTGATACTCTTCAACAAAATTTGAGTTCTTTTTTCTTCAGTGAGCACCTACCCACCTGCCCAATGAATAGCTTTGTTTGAATACCTTGTACTTTTGTCTCAGCTCTTCTGTGTCTTCTTTTTCCACTTCTAGGACACGGCGCCGTTCGGTAGCATCTTCAGCATAATCAAGCTTGACAAAAATAGATGATTAGACTTAATTCCTAATGTACCCCCAAGATTAGCTATGAAAAAGTTATTTATATAACTACAGTATTATCTGAAAACAAAAAAACTTTGTATTTTGCTCAGCTTGCTTTATTGTCACCCCACAGAGAAAATCACATGCAAAATAGTTTGTTAATCCTTAAATGCTGGCAGTTTCTAAAAGGCACATTTGTTGAAAATAGACTTTACTTCAATGTTAATTTTTTTTCTTTTTTTCTGAGATAGGGTTTCACTCTTGTTGCCCAGGCTGGAGTGCAATGGTGTGATCTCGGCTCACTGCAATCTCCGCCTCCCAAGCTCAAGCAATTCTCCTGCCTCAGCCTCCCAAGTAGCTGAGATTACAGTGCCCACCGCCAGCCCTCGCTAATTTTTTTTGTATTTTTAGTACAGATGGGGTTTCACCATGTTGGCCAGGCTGGTCTCAAACTCCTGACTTCAGTGATCCACCCACCTTGGCCTCCTAAAGTGCTGATATTACAGGCGTGAGCCACTGTGCCCAACCTCAATGTTAATTTTCAAATAATTAGGAGTCAATGAAGAAAATATTTGCGGCAAGGCAAAGCAGGTATTACAGATGGCAGCTGTACCCAATTCTACAAAGGCAAAGCTTTTATCACAGCAACATTTTAAGAGCTGAGCAACACTGCCCACTGAAACAAGCACAAAGGTCTGGATCTAAGTTGAAAATTGCCTTGCTGTATAACCCTGAGCAAACCACTTAACTTCTTTATGTGCCAGTTAAAACAGGGGCATTGTTTATATTCTATTAGTCTCAAAAGTAGCACTAAATGAAAATGTAAAATATATTTTTTAGTTGTCCAAAGAAAAATATTAAAACTACATTTTATCTGATAAATGTATTCTTGCACGGACATCTGAATTTGGGATTGGTATCATTTAAAAATATCCTATAAAAATCAGAAGTTAATGAGATCAATTTACCTCCATTTCCATGCGACCCATGCCCATGACATCATACTTGACAACGATTGGAATGGGATCTGTTCTCCCTGTAATAGGAACACATAATCAAGGTAAGGTGCAAAGCCAAGCCAACAGCTCATTTTACACATTGGGTTTGGGTGGTTAGAGATCTTGCCTTGGAGTGCAGAGACCAGAAAGCTACAGTGAACCAAACACAAGCCATTCTCACAGCTTACACTCAAGACCTTCCTTTCCTAGTTGAAACCCAACTAACCACCTTGGCTGACCTTCCAGTTGGGATTAATTCCAAATTACTATGGCAAAACTTGATTAATAAGTAATGCAAAGCACTTTTAAGCAATGGCATCAGGAGGTTTAAATTTTAAAGCTTTAAAAATGTTTTTTAAGATCCCCAAATAACTTCCCATCAAAAATCACTTCACTCTGTCCACTGATAATCCTCCTACACAACTTTTTTAAACTGGTTAAAAAAAAAAAATCTCAACTGGCATGGTTAAACAGAAGAAGCACATTTTCAAACATGATGTAGTAAAACTTTATAATGACAACTCAGGATGTTAAAATTTGTTTTCAAAAAAATTTTTTTTTTTATGATCCTCATAGACAAGGAGGTGCTTTACAATTTAATGGTGCTGTGAAAAATTTAAATAAGAAGCAACAATTAGTTGCCCTTAGAGACAAAGAATAGTTTTCCTTTTAATCTGGTGCTCTAAAGTCCCATTTCCTAGGTTGGATTTAACACTGCAGGGTTAACTGGTAAGCTGTGAAAAGGACTAGTTGCGAAGAAAATTGACTTTAAACTAATTGATCTATGCTGGAGATTTTTTTTTTAATAAATATATATTTAATCCACTCATAACCAGCCAAACAAAGCAAAATGGGGCAGACAAGCACTTTACTACCACAGCTGTTTTACATCACAACTTGCGCTTTTTATTGTGATGTAAGCCCACTGAAAAGAGGACTTACCTTATCCGTTGTACACCTTTAGTGAAAAAACACAATGTTTACTTCCCTCATCATTTCACTCAGGCTGGTGTAAACAATTGGTTTTTTTGGTTGTATTGTTGTTGTTGTTATACACACATATATATATTATACCTTTGGGCTAAAAATGGAGTTTTCTTAGGCTAAATCTGAGACATTACCCCCCCAACCCCAAAAAAACTTAAAAAAAAAAAATAAAGGCCATGACCATGACTGGTTTTGGTCCTGCAAAATAAAGAAGAAACCATGTTCAAAATGATCACAACCACTTGTATTCAGTGGCTCTGTATCTGTGGAATTAGTTTTTGCCTTTAAGATGTAATGAAAAATTCATAAGTTTACTTATGTATCCTATTGTTGTTTTTAAACAATAAATAGGAAAAATTAGAATTATCACAATACAAAACAAAACTGTTAAAGAAAGAACATCTCATGTCAGAAAAAAAAAAGGAAAACTTCTAGAATACAGCCTTCTTTTAGATACAAAGACTGCCAGTAAAGCAAAATGAAAATGCATTACTACCTTATGCCCAATGGTATAATAAATAAGCAGTGACTGCAATCTTTAGCAAAAGGACCAAATTAAAGACAGGTTATAAAAATGACTTCCTAGGTGCAATATCACTTTCATAACGTCTCAATCAGGGATTTACTGGTAAAAACAAATGGTCCAATGAAAGAATTAAAAAGAAATGTCAAAGGAATTTATTTTGGTATATTTTTTGATCTTTCAGAATTTGTTTTGCAAGAATCAAGAAGTTTTGGTACAAATTCATTACCTCTGTAAACCCCTGTTTATAAACTCTGCATTAGTACTTTTGCCTTCTAAGGCAGTCAAAGTTTGTTTTAATTTATTTATAAATTGCAGTAGCAAGTGCTAGTGCCCATTACATTGTGGGGAAATCAAGTTTTTGACAGTATTAGAATTTAATGTTTTAACTGATTTTGTTGGCAGTTCTAACACAAACAGATACATCCCTTCTTAACATTACCCTTTAATGAACAAGGATCAGACAAGTTGCATAAGGAAAGGAAAGGAAAATGAAAAAGACCAAGCAGAAGGATGAAGGCTACAACAGAGAAAGTAAGCCTAACATATTGGTGCACTGATGACAAAAGGAGTAATTCAGTCTGAAAATAAAAAATTACCACTGCTAAGTTTACCATCACCACAACAAGTCCAGGATCATAATGCTGTAAAAAAGAAACACCATTTGTTAGGCAGAAACCATTAGGGTAGGAAACAGGCCTTCTAGCAGGCAGACAGGATGGGGTAAAGTTAACAGTTGGGCTTTGTCCCTCCCCCAATCTCAGCTGGGGACAGAAGAAGGACATTTTGTGCTAGAGCAGCTGTTTTCATACTGGTCAGACTAAGGTGTGAGATTTTTGTACTGCTACTTGAGAACATGAACAACATCCTCTTGAATAAGGCAGGAGGGTAGGGTGTCAGTTTAAAGCGAGAGAACTAGCTCTAGCTTCCAATCTTTCATTTAACTATTCATTCTGGTAAATCAGTATTCAGGGCCCAAGGTGGGACTTTTAAAAGAAATGACATCTAAGACTCAATCAGATCAACTAACTGGACAGTAATAAAGTCATTTACTTCACCAAAATAATTCTAGGAGCTTGGAGTATGGGTGAGATGTCCTCAAGACTTCTCTAGAAATAAGATATATACATATATCTAACAATTAAGAGATCTAGAAAATAATCTTAGATCCTCAGTGCTTGAAGAGCTTTGTGCATTTCAGTTCTGTTATGAATGAATACAACTCTTTAAGTGGCTCTCCTTAGAACTTTCCTTCCTGTTAACTAAGACTGTCCAGGACGCCCAATATCTTTCTTTCAGCACAGAACAAAACCAATCTTTCAAGGAGAGCTCCAGAGAAACTGACATCAAAAGAGCTGTCACACTGAAAATTACTCCACTCAGAGTTAACTCATAGAAAATAAATAGCATGACTTTCAAAGCAATCTTGAAGGTGACATTATTGCCTGGGCCAAGTGGCAATTTCTTAACCTTATTAAAGAGGCTACAGACCAAGGAAAAATCCCAGTGGGAAAAGACACCAAAAACTACATATAAGAAGAGGTTGCAGCATTAAAAAACAAAAACAAAAACCCCTCAATTTATTCAGTTGCTATCAATGATAAATCTGAATGAACATTACTTAGAATACCTGAATACCAATTTGTAGTGATGACTTCAAAAGGTAGGTAGCAATAGAGTGTCTGCTAATATGCATTCTATAGAAAACTCAACTTTTTTTGAGATGGAGTTTCACTGTTGTTGCCCAGGCTAGAGTGCAATGGTGGGATCTCAGCTCACCGCAAACACTGCCTCCCAGGTTCAAGCGATTCTCCTGCCTCAGCCTCCTGAGTAGCTGGGATTACAGGCATGCACCACCATGCCCCGCTAATTTTGTATTTTTGTAGAGACAGGGTTTCTCCACGTTGGTCAGGCTGGTCTCGAACTCCTGACCTCAGGTGATCCACCCTCCTCAGTCTCCCAAAGTGCTGGGATTACAGACGTGAGCCACCGTGCCTGGCCTCAACTTGTTTTAAAAATAAAAGCCAGGTTCTCTCCTCCTTGGTTTCTTTTAAAATAGGGCAAATATTATTTAAAATATATTAAATTAGTGAGAACATTTTTTGTTGCTTGTTTCACTCCAAAGGAGGCAACTTCAACCAGAACACTAAATAATCTCCTTAAAAGAAATTGTTGCTTGGCATGGTGGTTCACGGCTGCAATCCCAGCACTTTAGGAGGCTGATGTAGGCAGATCACGAGGTCAAGAGATGGAGACCATCCTGGCCAACATGGTGAAACCCTGTCTCTACTAAAAATACAAAAATTAGCTGGGTGTGGTGGTGTGTGCCTATAGTTTCAGCTATTTGGGAGGCTGAGACAGGAGAATTGCTTGAATCCAGGAGGCAGAGGTTGCAGTGAGCCGAGATCATGTCACTGCATTCCATCCTGGAGACAGAGTGAGACTCTGTCTCAGGAAAAAAAAAAAAAAAAAAAAAAAAAGAAATCATCTTCCTCAGGAAAAGATCTATAGACACTTGCTGTACTTTGGCCAAGTGGGGAAGGAAAAGGAAACACATGCAAAATCAAGAATGTGCCAATATCAATGTATTCATCTGATGGAAAAAAACTGACACTCCTATTTTCTAAATCAAAACTTTAAATGATGTTTGACTAACTGGAATTATATATATATTTTTTAGAGACAGGGTCACTTAGGCTGGAGTACAGTAGCACGATCAGTTCACTGCACACTATACCTCTCTGCAGCCTATATCTCGCAGGCTCAAGTGATCCTCTTGCCTCAGCCTCCCAAAGCTCTGGGATTATAGGTGTGAGCTGCACACCAGCCTACTGTTTATTTTAAAAGGTAGTTTTACTTCTGCAAAAACAGAAATTTCTAAATGCTCTCATATATATGCAGGTCTTACTAAAATGTGAAGGCATTATGACATAACTAAAGAGAGAATATAATCAAATACAAAAATCCATTGATTATCAGAGTTACCCTGTCACTGAGAACAATCCTTCAGGAATCAGTTTTGATTTTAAAATGGTTAAGGATACACCAATCTACAAAAGTTTTCCCAAGACTTTAACTACAGAGAAATAACTCTTTTGTTGCTTTTTGGGAAACACTATTTTTAAAGAAACAAACTCTAGGAATAAAACAACTGGGGACAACCATAATCTAGTAATCAGCCATATTTTAGAAACAGAAGATATATGACTTCCTTGCAGAAATAAATTAGCAATAAAGAAGCTTCTATAGTGATTAAAACACTGGTTGAATTGTCAACAGATGTAAGAACACCACATTGCATCTCTGCTGCTTTTCCCCTTAGAGATTCAACACAAATATTTACAACAAATACTGAGTTTTGGCCGGGAGCAGTGGCTCACGCCTGTAATCCCAGTACTGGAGGAGGCTGAGGCAGGCAGATCACTTGAGGTCAGGAGTTCAAGACTAGCCTGGCCAACATGGTGAAACCCCACCTCTACTAAAAATACAAAAATTAATTGGGTGTGGTGGCAGGCGCCTGTAATCCCAGCTACTCCGGAGGCTGAGGCAGAATAGCTTGAACCCGGGAGGCAGAAGTTGCAGTTAGCTAAGATAGCACCACTGCACTCTAGCCTGGGTGACACAATGACACTCTGTCCCCCCAAAAAACCAAAAGCAATCATTCAGGTAGGCTTGCATATGAAGGGAAAAAAAAAAAGCAAAAGGCTGGGAGCAGTGGCTTACACCTGTAATCCCAGCACTTTGGGAGGCAGAGGCAGGTGGATCACTTGAGGTCAGGAGTTCGAGACCAGCCTGGCCAACATGGTGAAACCCCGTCTCTACTAAAAATACAAAATTAATCGGGCACGGTAGTGCATGCCTGGAATCCCAGCTACTCAGGAGGCTGAGGCAGGAGAATCGCTTGAACCTGGGAGGCGGAGGTTGCAGTGAGCCAAGATCATGCCATTGCACTCCAGCCTGGGCAACAAGAGCAAAATTCCATCTCAGGAAAAAAAAAAATTGAGTTTCTACCATATTCAAGGCGCTGTTCTGGGCACTGCATATAGTGATGATGTAAAAAAAAAAAACCACCACCAGCCAGGTATGGTGGCTCACGGCTGTAATCCCAGCGCTTTGGCAGGCCGAGGTGGGTGGATCATGAGGTTAGGAGTTCAAGGCCAGTCTGGTCAAGATAGTGAAACCCTGTACTAAAAATACAAAAATTAGACAGGTGTGGTGGCAGGTGCCTGTAATGCCAGCTACTTGGGAGGCTGAGGCAGAGAACTGCTTGAACCTGGGAGGTGGAGGTTGTGGTGAGCCAAGACGACAGGGTGAGACTTCGTCCCCGAAAAACAAAAAACAAAAAACAAAAAAAACACCACCAAAGAATTACCAATAAATGGGCAAAATAATCTGACCAGCTTGAACTTCAGCTGAGTTCAGCATGACAATGAGAGAAAAGAGAATTTGTGGAACTAATGCGTAAGTAGTCAAAAAGCTTAAAAGTGTCTGAAATCGTCTTTTAAAAATACCTAACTTGTCTTTAAAGACTTGATCTTAATAAAGTACAAGTAAATATAAAAGCCATCAAAAACTCACAAAATCCACTTTCTTTTTTTTTGAGACAGGGTCTTGCTAAGTCACCCAGGCTAGAGTGCTGTGGTGCCATATCAGCTCACTGCAGACTCTACCTCCTACGCCGAAGCAATTCTCCTGCCTAGGCCTCCTGAGTAGCTGGCACTATAGATGCCTGCCACTATGCTGACTAATTTTTGTATTTTTAGTAGAGATGGGGTTTCACCATGTTGCTCAAGCTGGTCTCGAACTTCTGGGCTTGAGTGATCTGCCCACCCTGGCCTCCCAAAGTGCTTGGATTGCAGGTGTGAGCCAATGCATCCAGACTAAAATTCACGTTCAAAAGACAATTAAAACTGGGCTGGGCTTGGTGGCTCATGCCTGTAATCCCTGCATTTGGTGAGGCCTAGGCAGGAAGATGGCTTGAGGCCAGGAGTTTGAGAGCAAGACTCCATCTCTCCAAAAAAAAAATTAGTCAGGCATGGTGGCATGCACCTGCAGTCCTAGCCATGAGGAGATTGAGGCAGGAGAACCACTTGAGCCCAGGAGTTGAAGTGAGCTATGACTGCACCACTGCACTCCAGTGTGGGTGACAGAGAAAAACCCCGTTGGGGAAAAGAACGGAAAGGAGGGGGGGGGGGGGGGGGGGGGGGGGGGGGGAGAGGGGAGCCAGGTAAGGTGGCTCACGCCTGTAATCCCAACAATTTGGGACTACACCTCTACTAAAAATACAAAAAATAGCTAGGCGTGGTGGCACGCGTCTGTAATCACAGCTACTTGGGAGGCTGAGGCAGGAGAATCACTTGAACCCAGGATGCAGAGGTTGCAGTCAGCCGAGATCGTGCCATTGCACTCCAGCCTGGGCAACGAGTAAAACTCTGTTGAAGGAAAAAAAATAAAAAGGTGGTGGCACTTTTGTGCCCTGAGTTTTACTTATGTTTGTATCCATATCTGACACCGTATGCAGGCCAGAGGAGCATTTAGTTAAAAACCATTTGTTGGCCGGGCAAGGTGGCTCAAGCCTGTAATCCCAGCACTTTGGGAGGCCGAGGCAGGTGGATCACAAGGTCAAGAGATCGAGACCATCCTG